ATTTAAACAGACCATGGTCATAAAGTTTGTAAGCAATGATAAGAATATTCACAATTTATTAAGTCCACCCCACAATTAAGACCACTTTTGTCCAGCCCAGATGATGGTCTTTATCAAGGGCTTTTACTGTATAAATGAAAAACAAAAATTAAACCGTATCATGTAAAATAAAGGCATCCTTTGAATTTAAATAGTTTTCTGTTAAATCTGAAAGTAATCAATGTCAATTAAATTGTTATCACAATTACTGGCTGAATTTTAGCTGTAATTGATTAATTACAATTAAATAAATCATTTTTGGGCATGGTAATCAATTACATGCTGATTACAGTGTAATCATGTAATCAATTAAAAAATCAATGATTACAATTAATGATTACCCCAGGTCTCCTATGCAACCCTTGTTTTATATATTGATAAAATAATCTCTTTACTCCAAACTTCAGGAAAAGTTCCAGAATCTAAAATAATATAAAACAAATAACAAAACATGTCAAACATGCTGTCGGGTACATTTTTTAAATACATAATCAAAGGAAGATGATGTTTACCCTTGTCCGTCCTTCCTTCCGCCTGTTCGTCCGTCCGTTCCCTTTTTGTGTCGCACGTAGCTCAAAAAGTAATTGACCTAGAGAATGTTGATCAGCATGTGAAGTTGTGCACTTGGGTATTTTTATGTTGATATATTTAGTATTTTTAGAGTTATTTCCCTTGACATAGAAAAAATTTGCAATTTTCAACTTGTGTCGCACGTATCTAAAAAAAGTATTTAACCTTGAGTCATGAAACCTTACAAGAATATTGCTCAGCATGTGCAGTTTTGCACCTGGGTATTTTCGTGTGGATAGTTCTAGTATTTTTAGAGTTTTTGCCCTTGACTTAGTAAAAATTTTCAATTTTCAACTTTGTCGCACGTAACTAAAAACGGATTTGACCTAGAGTCTTGAAACCTTACAAGAATGTTGCTCAGCATGTGTAAGTGTACACCTGGGTATTTTTGTGTGGATATTTTTAATATTTTTGAGATATTGCCTTTGACTTAGTAAATATTTACAATACTTAACTTGTGTTGCACGTAACTCAAAAAGTTTATGACCTGAAGGCCTGAAAGTTTACAAGAATGTTGGTCAGCATGTGTACTTTAGGTTTTCTTGTGGATTTATTCAATATTTGTAGTATTTGCCCTTAACATTATAAAAGATTTTTTAGTTTTCAACTTGGGCACATGTAGCCAAAAAAAATTGACCTAGAGACATTTACACTTCTTTTATAAAACTGCAAGAGCTAAAGCTTACTTTTTTATGAAACATTATCTAGTAGACCTTTACTAAGTTTGTTCAAAATTGGTCCTGCCATAGGGGTCTTTGATTTTCCTCATATGATTATAGTACAAACTTTAAAACATCTTCATCTATTATGTTATAGAGGCTTTAGCTCAGATATTTGGTATAAACATAGCAATGTGGACCTTTAAATTTTTTTTTCAAATTATAGCCAGGGGGTCAAAAAGTGGTGCCGCCCCGGGGGAACATGGATTTGCCTTAAATGTGTGTAGTTAAAACTTTAAGAAAGCTTACGTTCAATAGCAACAAATAATTTCATAGCAGCCATTGTCTTTTCATAGCAATCTGTAAACTTTCAAAGCAACCAGCAAACACTTACTTTACCCCAAAGCAACGAGTGAATTTCATAGCAGTCACTGACTTCCAAGGAAGCCATTTATTTAGTATAACCACCATTGGCTTCTTGTGAAACTTTTGCTTTTCATGAGCAATAGCAACCAATTATGTTTTTACAAGTGCACTATTTCAGAAACAAATATGTTGTTGATGATATCAGTTTAAGGTTAACATTTTATATCTGCTTTCGTCTGTAGTTTATAATATTATTTGTTCCTTTTCATGGAGAGTATTGGTATTCAAGTGAGAAATACAAGAAATGCAAGAAATGAAGCAAGTGACGATGAACTAGTAGACATCTGATGACCAAATATCTTTTTCTTAACTTTTCAATGGTTAATTGGATTATACAAAAATTGTATATCATAGATAAATGGGCGGTCAAAAGACATTTTTCATAATGAACTGTGGTAGACCTGCTAGAGATTAGAATATGTAATGTTTTCTTGAGAACATACAAAACAGAACTCAAAATGAACAAAGTCTGTTCTGTATTAACCCATTACTTCATGAACATTTTGTAAAAAATGGCTGTTTTCATTGAAAAGCCTCCCGTTACAAGTTTAAATTGCTATAAAACTATAAAAACTGCTTCAATACTGCTGCAACAACATGCTCAGGCTTAAATTTTCTGTTACCATAGCAACGAAGGGACATCTCCAAATTGCCAAAAATCACTATTTTGAGTTGATTTTTTCCATCAAAATTGATTTCAAAGTGCTGCAACTACTCAATGGATTGAGTCAAATGCTTTTCAGTGTTGGTTACACGTTAACTTATGATCGTTCTGGGGTCATTTTTAACCTCTCAAAAGTCCAAAACATTCTTGGCGATGAGGGGGACTGCCGCCCAATTCAAACCCACAAAACACAAGGGGGCACACCCCCCTTCCGTCAACCCCCTGATGTATCTTTTGGTTGGGGCCGCGCCGAAAAAGTCGTCACTTTTAAACAATATTTCTCAAACAAAAACAAGTGTTATGGGCCTAAATAAGGCATTTTTCCACCATTTGAGACAACAAAAAAGGGGGGGGGGTTGAAAAAGGCCTTAAAATGCGTGTATATCGCGTAATGGTTTAAATGCAAATATACAAACAGTGTATCAAAATAGTAACAAAAGTGACTAATATAATGATATATCATGCATTTTTTTCATGTCAAATTATAATAAAAGTTTCTATTAATACATGGGACTTAATATGAAGTACATGTAGTTATATTTGAAGACCCAGATATATTCTGAACGAGAACACACACTGGAATGGAAAAAAATGGAATGAATGTCAAACAGACCAAATTCAAATGGTTGGTTTGTTATACGCGTTAATAAAAATAATGGAAAATTAAAAAAAATCATGAATAAATTTTTATGGCATGTTGATATCGTGAAACATTTTATTTTTCAATATTATGGATTACTGTTACTGTTACCTGAATTTTAGACAGATGTGAGGAACGTCACAAACATCATGTTCATGCGAGTCAAAGATATAACAGCTAACAATCTACTATTTTGCCAGACCCGCCATTCCCATCAATTAACCCATAACACCTCATGTTAAAACTGCAGACGAAAGTTACTGTCGTTAAAACGTCACATTATTCGGCAAATCACCATTTCACTCAAATAACCATAAACTCGATTGCCTTGAAACAAAATAGAATTGACTTCTTAAAGTAAAAATTCGAAAAATTAGGGTCGATTTAAATATTCAAGGTGAAAAAAATGTCAGAATTGCAATCAAGACCTTGAGAAAAGAAAGGAGATATTAATTACCGGTATGGAAGGACAAATTCGAAATGATGATACAAAAATATAACAATTCTTAAAAAAATGGTCTATGTTTACACTTTTAATATTTTTTCGATAAATATATGAAGAAAGCAATTTATTGTTGAATATGTTTGCTTTTTATTCCGGTTCGTTAATTTCTTACCATAGCGCGAGAAAAATTACTGTTTCGTTTTTAATAAATCAATAAACGAAATCTAACCTTTCACCAATCGGAATGCCATCAAGCGAGATTGTACGCAATGCGGAATGGTCAGCTTTGTACTGCATTCTTTTAAAATAACCAGTAAATTGCTGCGTATACATAAAGACGAATGTCTGGTAAGATCTGCGCAGCTGTTGAAATTGAAGGGAAAGCATAACGACACGAAAATTTCAATACGTCGTACTACATCGCGCACATGCTGAATGCTCCCTTTCTGCAGAAAATCCGTCGACTCGAAGGTAAAATACAATCTTATTATAAGAAAACGTAATAGTATCAAAAAAGCATTTAGGGCGCACCAAAGAATGTCTATAGTATTTGAGATAATTGTAAAAAAAAGTTTATACATTTATTGCCTGGTTTAGGCCTGAAAACGGGATTAGTGTTTTTCTCTAAATGCTTCAACTCGAACTTTTCCCGAAACATATAAGAAATAATATTGAAAACCTTCTTGAAAATTATTTTCAACGTACCGGAACATGTACCGGAACATAAACCGAGAAAAACTGACTTTTAAATAGAAATATTTGAAACCAATCTAGAAAAATGTGAAAACATGACTCGGTTTATGTTCCGGTACGTTGAAAATAATTTTCAAGAAGGTTTTGAACCTAATTTCTTACATGTTTCAGGAGAAGTCCGAGTGGGAGCATTCAGAGAAAAACTCTTATCCCGTTTTCAGGCCTATACCAAGGCCCAAAAAATGTATACCCACTTTTTTTAACAATTATCTCGACCCCTTATAAGCCATTTTTTTTTGGCGCGCTACACGCTTTGTGATACTCTTATTATTTTTATAATAAAATCGGGTTTTTACCTTCGAGTCTGACGGATTTTCTGGCATAAAATGGTCCGAGTCGGAGCTTTCTAAAACAGGCGATGCGCGGATGACATAGTATTCCTACCATTGTACTAGTAGTACTCTTCTATTTTGTGACATGTAGGATCCCCTTAATCAATGTCGTATTGTGTCAGCAATCCGAAAACAATGTATCTTTTTATATATAGAAAGAGCTGACACGCTCGTATATAATGGTTTATCCTAATACCTTGGACATTAATAATTCATATATATAAATTTTAATATAAAATGTTTTGTAACAAAGCAAGAAATCTTAAATTGGTCCTGAAGTGTAAAAGCTCATGAATGTGAATATTTAAATATACATTTGTTTTTATTGACGACTCGCAAAGTTAATCGTGTCATTCCGCAGCAAATTCATGCGACTTTTTCAAAGTTCTAAAAATACTCGGTAGCTTTGCAGTCGAAAAAAGGGTCGTCAAGGCGCTCTTGTTTTAAAAAAACTTAGTTTTCATTCACAAAGGTAACTGTAACTTTGACGATGACACTATGTGCGCATGGACCAATCTAAAAACAGATGATTTTGATTGGATAATAGCACATGGAACAACTACCTCGAGTAGAACAGGACCACGGTATGACCACACCCGCAAAGATAATAAGGTACGTCGTGTATTTTTACGCAATTGAGATGTGTATCACATGACTGTTTTAAACTTTTTTTTAAAAAACTTTTATACCCCAACCCCTGGATGTTTGTTGGTTTGACAACCAACCCCAAGCGTTCCCTTTAAAATTTTCATTCCCTTTTTGTGAGGGAAATTATAAAAAAAGGAATTTTTACCCTTTTTTGAAAAAAAAATTGTAATTATTTATTATTAGCTTTTCCCCCAAAAGTATTTGTATTTCCTGTTAGGGGAAATTTTAAAATATATTGAGACCGTGCCCCCTCGAAGGGTGGGAGATAAGGACGTGTTACAAGCCAGGGGAAATTTTTAAACCAAAAAAAAAAAATGGGGGAAACTGTAAAAGAAATTTGGTACAAATGTTTGGCTTCTGGTAAATTTGGCAGCCCCGTAAAATTACCTTGGTTACCGGGGCCCAACAAAAAACCCCCCCCATTTTGGAAAAGGAATACCGGCAAATCAATAATAACCTGGGCTAAAAAAGGCCCCAAATTGGCCAAAAAAAAGTAGCCAAAACCCGGGACCCCGGGTTTCTAAAAAATTAAAAAATGGCCCCTTTTTAAAACAAAAAAGAATTAAAAAAATATAACCTTTATGGGGTCTTTCAAATCCCAAATTTGGCCCCTAAGAGGGGTTTATTTTTTTTTTTCTAAAAAGAATAAAAACCCGAAACAAAATTTTTAAAAAGATGTTGATTGGCTTAAAATTTTTAAAAATTTTGGCCAATTTTACCAAAAATCCCCGCTTTTTACGTTTATGGAAGTTTAAACTGTAAAACTTTTAATTTTTTTAAAAAATAAATAGGGGTTGGGATAGAAAGGGGTAAAGGGGAAATTTCATACCAGGGTGATATTGCGGGTTGACATTCTCTTTTAAACAGGATCTTCCCTTTTTATGTATGTATGAAAATTATACTTCTAGAAATCTTTATATAACCTATTGTTTTTTTATTAATTAAGGAATACAGATTTATATTATTCAGTAAGAAAAGTACAATATAGTTCGTTTTTTTTAAGAAAACATGGTGAACATATAATGTACCTTTATTTATAAAGTAAACACAGTTTATTATTTTTTTCTTAAAATAATTATAACAAGACGATATTTAAAACAACCCCAATTAAATGGTATTTCTTATTCTAATTTTTTGATAGTGAATAGCAAAAAAGGGGTTTGTCTTTTCTGTTAATTAAAAATGGTGTTCAAAAGTTGAGTCCGATTTATTATAGATAAAAAAGATTTTTTTTCTTTAGGGGCGTCCGTGGCCGAGTGGTTCATTTCGTTCACTTGAAACCACTTGCCCCTTACCGCTGTGGGTTCGTATCCCGACAGGGACTTTGGATTCTTTCATGTGAGGAAGTTATCCATCCAGTTTAGAACGTCTGTGGTTCTACTCTTGTGTCCGTTCGTGCCTGAAATAATGCGCGGAATGGCATCTGAGGTCTTCCTCCACCAGTAAAGCTAGAACTTCGCCAAATGACATATACTGTGTCGGGGTGACGTAAAACGAAATCAAACAAAACATAGTGTTTTATTGTTGTTGTAACTGTTTTTCTTTATTTCTTCTTTTTTAACAAAAGGAGTTACTCTGTTTATTTTGAAAAATATGCTAAAATGAACCGTATGGTAATTGTATGTTTAATATAAACTTATAAATTGCAAGTCCATATTGTATGGTATTCTTTTCTGTGTTACTATTACGATAGACATATTTTGTCATTATTTTAGTGAGTCCGGAAACAGCGAATCCAAATGGACAAACAACAGTGTCAATAACACCAGGTTCTGTTACCACGGTTACTGTTGGCGCAAAACCGATAGTGTAGTTTTGCATTATACTCTATTATAGTCTACTTTATTAATGACATACTGTATTGGTATTGATAAACTCAAATATTGTGTAACACTTAGGATACATTTTTTTTATTTATTTGTTTATAAGTTAGTTGGTAAAGTTTTAAATAACATTAAAACCGTGACACTACAGTCTTTTTGCGGTTTTCCTTTCTGTGCATTAGAAATATCGTGCATAAAATGACACATACATAGAAAAAATGATAGCTAGGTTCCTCAGTACTGGAAAGGAATTTTACATTTTCATCCTACTGGTTTGGATACAAAACAAAATCTTCTTCTAAAGAAGCCAAAAAGCTTAGATCTTTAGCATAAAACATCTTCTAGTGGGTGTATACCAAGTTTGTTTTTTTAGATAAAATCCTTAGGATCAAAATTGGCCACGCCCCAGGGGAGCATTGATTTCTCTAATATGTACACAGTAGTTATTGTCAATGACCTGGTTATCTCCCTTTAAATATAAAGTAAAAATTTGCATTCAATAAGATTTTTTATTATTAATTTTGAAGTTAGGGATGCCCTTAAATATTTTCTAAAAAAATTTTTTATAGAAAAAAAAGAAAATTTTTTAAATCTAATTTAGACATTTTTTCAAAAATTTTTCATGTATGTATTATAAAAGTTTTTGGGTCAATTCTGGATCAATTTATCTCCTTTAAAAAGACAAGAAAGGAAAAAAAAATTTAAATTTTAGTTTTTTAAATCATTATTTTTAAATTTAGGTAAAGTGCCGCCCGAAAATAGATCAACCGGTTAGGGGCGAAATATTGTTATCTGGGCCATTGCGGGTCGTTCCTTTGGCCGGGGGAAAGAAACCGGAAAACCCTCCTGCCATTGGGTCATTTTGTTGTATCTGTATCTTGCACTATTTTTCCAAAAATCTAAATTGACAAATCCAGGACTCTCCCCATATGGGCAACCGGTGGCGAGTATAGATAAGACTCTCTCACCACATATGGGCACCGCACAACGCACACGCACACACACACACACACACACACACACAAAAGCTTTATTTAAATTTGTTGGGCCTTCCTTCAGCAGCATTTATTATAGATAAAAACATATCAAAAAAGCTGTTTCTCAATCGAGGATCGAATCTCACTATACAGTTAATTTAAGTGTAGACTGTTCTTTTTACATGTAATATTTACTTACACATTTCTTTTGTAGTTATTTTTAATTTTTACTTGATTTTTAAGCACCTAATTCATATCTGAAAAATACCAATATACCGGGAAACATTCAATGTTATTCATTAACCATATCTTATACATTCCCATTTTCTTACCCTTGTTACATTCCTTACAGTTATTTTTTGTGGTCATGTCATGTAGATTCCTATATTCCTACTTATATATACTTTACATTCTTGTTCTTACATGGCCACATCCCATACAAACATGTATTTTGGACACGTCCCATACCTCCTATGTTCTTGTTAATTTTCTATTTTTTATATTGCCATGTCCTTTTACAAACATATTCTTAGTCACGGTCCTAAAATCTATGTTCTTACGTGTTATACATGAACCAGGCTTTACTTACAACTGTACCTTGATAACATCTTCTTACTTGTAATATTCTTATAATCATATTCTTAAACATGATTATGTCCCTTACAAACATGTACTTGATCATATCATATACATTTTATGTTCCTTATTTGGGAAATTTCCCTATATTTCCCATGTTCCAATTTGGTCACCCCCCTTTTAAAAACATGTACGTGGACCAAATCATGCCCTTTTAAAAGCTTTTCTCACTTTCATACAATAAATTACATCCTTTTTCCGGGGTTTTTATTTACTGACTAGGGTACTATATAACAATTTTTAATGCCCCTTTAAAAAGGAAATAATTTATTGTACTAAAATATTGGGAATTTTAAATTTTTTTCCAAAAAAGTTAAATTTGAAATTTTTCCCCTTTAATTAAATATTTTAAACAAAATAAAAAATTCCCTTATAACTCTGTTAGGAGGGGCCCCAATGTGTCTTTTTTAATTAATTATGTTTTTTATGTATAATTTATTTTTGTTTTTTACTGGCCTTGTTTGGCATTAAAAAAATTAAAATAATTTTCAAAAAAAAACAAAATGGAATTTGCCCGTAACGTCAAAAAC